GCCAGTAGCGTCGAGCCGGTACGTCGAGATGTTTATCAGCAATTCACGTTACTACCAGGCTTCGGTGAAGTCAAAGATTCCCAACGGAGAGACGGTGTTTCTAGGTCAAGATCTGTTCCTTGGTGTCGCTCTGGACTACGGTACCACTAAGCCAATAGGTATGGTTACAATGTTAATCGTAACTTTTCCGGCCATTTCCGTAAATTTTCGGCCCTTTCCGTAATAGAGATTATTGATTTTCGACAAAAGACATTTGTATTTCAAAATTTTAATGTAAGTAGTCTGTTACTAAGATTTACGAAACAGGGTGTGCACACTACCAAACAGGTTGCCACGTGACTACAAATGTTTCATAGCAGTGACTTGAAAAAAAATGGTGGCTTACTTGTTATTTTGGTTCATTAGAAGGCAATGCAGCTTTAAATGAGAAAAGACATTTTGTATATAAATAACACATGGGTTTGTGGGTAACAGTAAAAATATCATCCCGAGGAAAATACTGTTACCCGAGGCGTAGCCTAGGGTAACAGTATTTTGACGAGGGATTATATTTTTTAATGTTACTCACAAACCCATGTGTTATTTATTTCATTACCCCGAACAAAAATACTGTGATGATCTGAAATTGGTCAACTAAATTTAACTTTACAAAAATAAAAACAAAAGTTAACAAACTGTAAAACTGTGTAACTAAATGTTATTACCTTTCTAAGTTTTAAGTGTACTTTAGGCCTACTTGAGAAGTTTTTTTTTCTTTTATTCTTTATGCAAGTGATGATATCTACAAATCATAAACATACAATTAAGCTAGGTTTTAATTTAGAAAACAAAACACTAACCCATTTACACGGCTATGATCTGTTTAATCTGATCCTTCTGTTTCCAAGAATATTTCTTAGCATGGTTTTTGACAAAAATAACGATGATATCCTGTGTCTGTCCACATATCTGTAACGTGTTACTGATTAAAATTGTTAAATAATCCTTTGTTGCATGCTTTTAAATCGTCTTCACATGTCCCAGCTTGACACATAATTATTTACATTGCAAATTACTTCCGTTGAAAACGGATGTTCCACTTTTTGACAATTCAACAAAAAAAGATATTTTTTTACGCGAAAAGCACACCAGGGTGCGAACAACTAAAGTGTCATAGTTACTCCTGAGAAGAAAATTGATGTCCTATCGGGGTTTAACGTAGAAAATAACAATGAATCGAGAAAGAAATGGCGGTCTTTTTATTTCATTTTATTTAGAAAATAGACCACGTGACCAGATTTTATACTGTAAAAAATACTGTTACCTATGTAACAGCACAAAGTTCTTAGTCACGTGGTACACTTGCAGTAACAGTAAGAATAACTCCCAGAGGCCTATGGGAAATTAACATTACGAAAAAAGTGAGGGGTAATACTGTCAGACGGAAACGGTTTATTAGCCATATAGAACCATTAAAATTTTAATCTTGCTTACCACATGTTGTTCATTTTTATAACAAAAAGGAATCAACTATGTACGGGAAAATGTTTATAATCCTTAAAACAAGCACAAATACATGTATTATATGTACTTAAATTATGTTATTATTTGTGATAAAGTATGCACAAACTGGTCGATGTTTAAAAATGAATTCGAGAGATATTTACATCTTACAACCTTAACATAGGACAACAGCAAGAATTTCCAAAACTGGTGGTATATGGAGGGCGTTCGTTGCCAAAAATCCAGACATGTAAATTGTTCCTTTTGAAAACTACGTTTGAAAATGCGAACGTGTATGTCTAGCATTTTTGATTGTATTCGTGCAAAGCAATTGATATATCTCTGCATCCAATCTTTTAATTGTAGGCATCCAATTTAAAAATCATAATTACATCTAGATCTTGACAACTGAATGAACATGGAAAACAAGAACAAATATACAAGTTCGTATCTTCCTTTGCATATATTAGATAAGCATATTTGCACACTTATATATATATATATATATATATATATATATTATATATATATATATATATATATATATATATATATATATATATATATAATATATATATATATATATATATATATATATATATTGTAAGATGTAAATATCTCTCGAATTCATTTTTAAACATCGACCAGTTATATATATATATATATATATATTATATATATATATATATATATATATATATATATATATATATATATAATATATTATATATATATATATATATATAATATATATATATATATATATATATATATCTGAACCTGAAATATACAAATGAAATGTAAAACTCGAATACAGAAAATAGAGTTAAAGAAAACGTGTTTCCCAGTTGTAGAACTACAACAGTACCCGTTAACATAGTAACATTTTTAAAATGACAAAAGTAGATTCACAAAGTTAAACTATTTTAAGTCATGCATGACGCCCCGCCCCTCTTTTAATATTTACGAATTTCTATTGCGGACAGGTATAAAACCCGGGGCCTCTCCCCTTTTTCCAAAACTGCACGCCAATAAGGTCTCTTTTCAGTGACGGGGATAAACAAACACACACACTATTTCTAAATTAAACTAAAGGAAAACACGCCGCATTCTTTCTTACATAATTTTGTTTCATTTGTTACAAAAGTTTTATCACTAGCTAAATCACCTGAAAATTGCTAATTTTACCATTTATTTATACAAAATAATTAAGATAATTTATGCACTAACTTACTTTTAATCCTCATGTTTTGCTGAGAAACATCGGCAATTTGGAAATTATAAGGGGAAAAATCATCTTCAAGGGAGTAATTTCATTCATAATCTAAAGACCAGCCAATATATGTATTGGTGTCATTGAAAAAAAACAACACATATTTGCAATCTTTAAAAAGGTATTTTCTGTATGAATAAATACTTTTTTATTATACGTCTAAACTTTCATACTAAATTCATTTTTTATTTTGAAATTGGTTAATTTATAAATCTAAAAGGAGCGCCGTGATTTTCTTGCCGAATATATGAATTTGTTTTTAAGAGAGCAAGAGAAAATAAACAACAATGAGTTTCAAACAAAATGTTTATACTTCTACATAATTAATTTTTTATTCTTAAGGCATCACCAGAAAGTTCATGAAGAATTCTTTCATTTGACATCAAAATTACTAAAATTGGTAAAGAAGCTTAAAGAAATAAAAAAGCAAGTAGGGGTCGCCGTGTGTGTCTGTTTTTTTTTTATTCTAATTTTATCATTATTGAATTTCAGAGTGTGGTTTTCATAAAGTACCATGATAAACTTTGAAACGAAAATTTTCATACTTCTCCTTGATTCATTCTCATATTTAGGCATTACATAATTATAGACTATAAAACGTATGAATAACTCTTTTATTTCAATCCAAAATTAACAAAATTGATTAAGAAAAAAAAAGTTTGGAGGGGACGACTTGTTTTTCTTGAGAGTGTGTTTTTTTTTTCAGAGGAAAAAAATGATAAATTTTGACCCAATAATTTTAATACATCTATTTAATTCATCTCTATTTCTGAGGCATTCATAAAAAACTTAAGGAGTAATCTTTCATTTGATACCAATCTTTTTGATATAATAAGTTACGAGGGACGCCGTGTTTTTCTTTCACTTTATTCATGTTATTTAGAAAAAGGGGGGAAGCGCCGGTTTTATACCTGTCCGTACATTTTCGTAACAGAAATTCATAAAAATACTAAAAGAGGGGCGGGGCGTCATGCATGACTTAAAATCGTTCAACTTTGTGAATCTACTTTCGATATTCTAAACATGTTACTGTGTAAACGTATTCTTGTAGTTCTACAACAGGAAACACGTTTTCTCAAACTCTATTTTCTGTATTCGAGTTCTACATTTCTTTTTATAAATCTCAGGTACAGATAGATATCTATAAGTGTGTAAACTTGCTTATGTATTATATGCAATGAAAGATACGAACTTGTAAATTTGTTCTTGTTTTCCATGTTCATTCAGTTGTTAAGATGTAGATGTATTATTAAAAATCGAGTGCCTTCAGTTAAAAGATTGGATTAAGAGGCATACCATTTGCTGTACATGAATACAATCAAAAATGGTAGACATACACGTTCGCATTTTCAAAAGTAGTTCCCAAAAGGAAAAAATTACATGGCTGGATTTTTGGCAACGAACGCCCTCCACAGTGTTACACTATATATGTTGTACTGGTTTTACATATTTTCTATCCTCGCCTACCATTTTTCCATGTTTTTTTCTATCCTCGTCCGCCATTTGAGATCACGTGATCATACTGTTCTCCATGTTTTTCTATCCTCGTCCGCCATTTAAGATAACATGATCCTAGGTCAGATACTCGTATTAATTTTCCATAGGCTTACATTATAAGAAATGACCTCAAAACAGACCTTAAAAGTGAGTTTTCATCATAGAGATGTGATTTTTCTGGGAGAATGACATGCCTGACACATAAAACTCATCTCGTTATATAGGGGTAGCCAACCAAATTTTTCGTAAAATGACTTCAAAGAGGATTACCCCCCTTTACACTGTAATTCACTGCTGATTACAGGACTGACATATACTTTTTTAAAATGTAAATATCAGAGTTAAAAATTATCCTACAGACTTACAAAATACTTCATTTTTTTCAGAAAACAATGTACTGTTAGTTTCGAGAATAGTTTTTATACTTATACACAATACCTTCTCGTCCAATCACCTAATGTCCCATTGAATCTTACGGTTTTCCCTGCACTTTTTTTAGCCAATCGCTGGCAATGTAACAATACGTTACCCTGACCCCTACTGTCTATCCTCGCCTGCCATTTTAGATCACATGACACTGACAATCATATAAAACGGTGTTTCGTTTTTAGATAAGGTACATGCCTATGGACTCTACACGTATGATTGCGAGGCGTCAAATAATGCAAATTTTCTTACAACTGATAAAAACCGAGTGATTCGATTAACAGATGCAACAACTGGGTAAGCCTTTTTCTTATTTGAATACATGGACAGCGATTTGTACAGTAACTATAATATCACGCGCGTAAAAGGTGAACACCACTATAATATAATAAAATAATAAATTGATGTTTTTATCTTGAAATTTAAAGTCGTAAACATTGCGATAACAAGAGCGTTGATTTTTAGAGTTTTAAATATAGGTTAAATTCCCGGTCCATTTGTGTCTGTCGAAAGGCAATACTAATATTATGATCCGTTATTTTGGTGAATCACATTGTCCCGGCTGCGTGGGCAGAAACTAATGAACAGTCGGCACATTTGCCCTAACGGTGTAGGCGGGATAATAAATAATAAATGAATAGTTAGATAACAAAGTGACAAATCCGCTTAGCTTTTTGGCAAAAGGTTATGGACAAAAATTCCGAATAAAATCGGGAATCAGCAGGTTTCTCCTATAAATAATAAGTTAACAAATTAAAAAAATATTTGATATATTTTCCAAATAATATACATAACAAACTGTGTACCAACGTCGAATTGACTCCCTATTTTTTTCCCACTGACACTAGTTTGGGAAAATTATTTCAAATAATATGTTGCTACCTCAATTATGATTGATAAGATTAGCGTTATTTTCTATTTATAGATGTGTTCACGGGTCATTGCTAAGTGGCAAAGCATTTTATTTGTCAGAAGAATTTAAAGTAGCCTCAAAAGACGGAGGGGGCGCTATCGGTATAATCTCAGACACCACCACGGGAACCTATAATTTTGTACAGCTGTCAGGGAAGTTTGACGCAGTTAAATGGCTGGTAGGGGGAAATGATCACGTGTACTTCAGATGTAAGGTCAAGTTTTGCCGAAACCAAGACTTTGAAGAATCGTCAAAATGCTGGGATGTAAGTTTTACACCAATGTTTATGCTATTTATCTCTTTTTTCTCCTAGAAGCCGTCAATTTCCGCCACATTCCGTCTACTTTCGCCACAATTCGTCTATTTTCGCTATATTTCGTCTACTTCCGCCATATTTCGTCTATTTCCGCAATATTTTGTCTACTTCCGCCAAAGTTCTTTTATTTCCGCTTTTTTTCGTCTACTTCGCCATATTTCGTCTACTTTGGCCATATTCCGTCTCCTTCCTCCTGCGCCTCATTATCCTTATTTTCTCTTCTCTCTTTCTATTTTGTTCATATTAATCTATATTTTTTTCTCAACATGCCGTCTATTTTCTCCGTCAATATTTTTCTGCACATTCCGTCTTTATTTTTGTTTTTGATATTCCGTCACCCCACCACATTTCGTCTTTATGCTCCAAATTCCGTTAATTTTCCACATCCCGCCTTTTTATTCTACATTCATTTTATTCTCGCCTATTTGAACATATTTTGCCTATTTTGAAATATTTCTTTTCAAATGAGTAGTAACAAATTTCTTTCCAAAATCATATTCATCCGACAATTCATAAAAGGGCGTTGTACCCTATTTAAGCATATCAGTATGGTCAGAAGCATTTATACTTTTTATCTTTCCAAATTAACAATGAAATTTAAAAAAGACTGAAACAACTGATTTCGTGACTTTCAAAAATATGTTTGCACGAGTTGTTTACCTTTGTATAACACTTGCCTCAATCATATTTTACAGTGTACTTAATAAAAGGCGGTTTATAGTTGTCCAATTTTCACTGTCTTCATTATTATTTTTTGAAAAATTAGTTATATATATTTATATTGTATTAATATATCTGTGTTATAGAGTGTCGGCGTTAAAGAGGGTCAGTGTTAAAGAGGGTCGGTGTTAAAGAGTGTCGGTGTTAAGAGGGTCCGGTGTTAAAAGAGTGTCGGTGTCTTGTTAAGGGGAGAGGAGTATACTAGCGATTGAAGATAATGCTCACTATTTATAATATAATCGTAAATGTTTGCATGGAAACAGTAGTTTATGGTTCCTTATCAATTTATTAATTTCAATGAAAACATTTAATATATATGTATATTCAGGTGTGTGCAAACCATCCAAATGTAGATTACACTGAACGAAGAAGAAGGGATGTTAACGAGACCACAGATCCTTACCCACCTATTACCGTTACTGCCAATGTAAAACTCGCAAGACCGCCTCAAGGTACGTAAAGCTAAAGTCTGTCATACCCGCCTATTACCGTTACTGCCAATGTAAAACTAGCAAAACCGCCTCAAGGTATGTTAAAAGCTCAATTCTGTCATACCCGCCTATTACCGTTACTGCCAATGTAAAAAATGTAAAACTCGCAAGACCGCCTCAAGTAATGTTAAAAGCTGAATTCTGTCATACCTGCCTATTACCGTTACTGCCAATGTAAAACTCGCAAGACCGCCTCAAGGTATGTTAAAAGCTTAATTCTGTCATACCTGCCTATTACCGCTACTGCCAATGTAAAACTCGCAAGACCACCTCAAGGTATGTTAAAAGCTTAATTCTGTCATACCCGCCTATTACCGCTACTGCCAATGTAAAAATGTAAAACTCGCAAGACCGCATCAAGGTATGTTAAAAGCTTAATTCTGTCATACCTGCCTATTACCGTTACTGCCAATGTAAAACTCGCAAGACCACCTCAAGGTACGTAAAGCTAACGTCTGTCAGACCCGTATGTTACCGGATACGTTAAAAGCTAGATTCTGTCATACACACCTGTCACCGGACACTAAGTGTGCGTAGTAAACAGCGTAGAAAATGGAAAATAAGTTAAATTCCAAGCCAAATGATTGTCATTGCATAGTTTTTGAATTGACATGTTTGCAGTATATATACAGGACGAACCTATCCTTACTCTCCGCAGATTAAGAGATATTCAGGATGTTTAACCAGACAGCCCGCGGGGGGGGGGGGGGGTGGGTGCAGAGTTTTGACACTGGGTAATGTGTATATTGCAGACTGTGCTTGACATTTCTAGGATCAGAAGTTAAATACATGTATTTGCTGATTTATAAAAGTTAAATATCTGAATATCAAGGGAGTTTACCTAATAGCCAAACAGCGGGACCCGGGCGTGGCGGGGAGGTTGGGGATTGTGGTTATGTCCCTTATCTCTATCTCTGGACCGCGCTTGATTATTTACGGGTAACTGAACTCTGCATTTATTAAGATTACAATCTATTTTTTTCTCGAGTGAGACCAGGGTCTTTTAAATAGTTATTTGAAAAATCCTTCTGAGACTTAAAAAGTGTTGGGGCACCACACTAAAAACCGTTATGCGGTATATACGGGACAAGGCAAAAAAGGCTAAAATCTGAGTCTATATTTTTATTTGTTTACTATTAATAAATATGCAGATGTCTAGGAAAGGTAACGTACACATACTATTTTAATGGACCTTTCTAGTGTTTACAGTTTTATGTAAATTGGCTAACTTGTATCTAATTGCTACACTGAACTAATACATAGTCACTGGTTGACCTGGTTTGCACAAAAGAGCACGTGCTTATGTTTGTCATACTGTTTTTGAGCAATGAATGGAAAAGGTGTAGATAAATGTTCCGCTTCGCAAAACAGGAAAGGTCCATCCTTTAAGATCATTTGTCGATTTCATTAACAATGTAGTTTGTTATCGTTTTACAGCCAAGGAGGAAGTCAAGGTTGAATGCGTTAGAACGTTTTTGCCTACCGACCAGTTGGCCTTACGGGGCTTCTGCTCGTTGACGGGGGGTCACGCTCATGTTTTTTTGTAAAGGGAAACTGTTTTTAAAATTATCAGTGGTCCAAACAAAGGGTTTAATAAGTTGTATTATCCCTGGTAGTCAATGCAAATAAGTTTAATAATTATCCCTGGGCAGATAAGGTCAAATTGTTGGTATTTATCCGTGGCCCGTCCCCGGTTTCTTAGTTGGTATTATCCCTGGGCCCGTCAATTTAAATTAGTTGAAAAATTATCCTTTTGGGCAGTTTAAGGGTTTTTAAATTAGTTTATAATTTTCGGGGCCAGTGAAAGGTTTTAAATTTGTTAAATTAAATGGGGAGTAAACTTAACCTAAATTGTTTAATTATTCCCGAGGCCCGTCATTTTTAAATTAGTCTTTTAGTTAAGTGGGCCCGTTTAAGGGTTTAATTTTTTTGATAGTTATCGGTGGCCAGTCAAGGTAAACTAAGTTGATAGTTATCCGTGGCCAGTCAAGGTTTAACTAAGGTTTGATAGGTATCCGTGGCCAGTCAAGGTAAACTTAGTTGATAGGTATCCGTGGCCAGTCAATGTAAACTTAGTTGATTAGGTATCCGTGGCCAGTCAAGGTTAACTAAGTTGATAGGTATCCGTGGCGGTGCAGTTAAACTTAGTTGATAGGTATCCCGTGGCCAGTCAATGTAAAACTTAGTTGATAGGTTATTCCTGGCCAGTTAAGGTTAACTAAGTTGATAGGTTATCCGTGGCCGGTGCAGTTAACTTTAGTTGATAGGTATCCGTTGGCAAGTCAGGTAAAACTTAGTTGATAGTTATCCGTGGCCAGTTAAAGGTTTAACCAAGTTGATAGATATCCGTGGCCAGTCAAGGTAAAATATAGTCCGTTTACTTTACCAATGACCAGTCATCAAGGCTAGCGTAGTTGTAGTTATCCAGTGGCCCCATTTCCAAGTTAACTTAGTTGTTAAACTATTCAGTTACAGGTCTAAGAAAAATTTTTAGTAATAATGACCACAAATTTTTTAGATTAAATTTGTCATAAAAACATACTTAAAGTAAATCGTTAATGTTAGTAACCCTTTTTTTACAACGTATGATATAAACTATGGTCAGTATGTTCTAGAAAAAATTTATTTTCTGTGTCAACAAGCCATTATCAAAATATACAATAATAAACAAATGAAACGACAAATGAAACCAACTGGTCAACCACCCTAGCAGACAGAAGAATAAATGAACGTTACCAGCAGGAAAATTACTACAATAAATGTCATTGAAACTGAACATACATCGGCTACTGTAACCTTCTTTTTTAAGAAACGAAATTTGTGTGTGTGTTTGAGTTTTTTTATTTTCGCCACCGGTTGCCCCATATGAGCGAGTCCTCCAGAAGTAATGTTAGTCATTTTTTATATTTTGGAGATAATGTAAGATGATACCTCAATTCCAGAAGCTTCTCCTGTTGCCATGTTTTTAAGCACTCATACACGGGACGTAGATTTACAGTCTCATCCGGAAGATAAGTTGGCCAGTCTGGGAATCGAACCCACAATGTCGAAAATTACAAGTCTTGCTCTCTGACCTGTTGAGCTATGATAGCTTGCATATTAAAACCCCAATAAATTCCACAACAAACGAATAATTGCATATTGTTCTCGTTTCTTTCAGCTGTCAAGCAGGCAAAGAAAAAGAGCGTAAACTGCTTCCCTAGTGACAGTGTGTACAGACAGAGAAACTTAAATGGCACACTATGCCTCATAAAATGCATAATTTTTTAATTCTTTAGAAATGGCAACCATGTGTATAATAATATTTGATAATGACTTTAGGGCATGTGTCGTGTTTTTTTACAATAAGATTGCGTAAAAGCGAAAGAAGCATTAGATAGTTACACAATATGCCAAATGTGTATTTTCTTATATACTGTAACATAATACCCAAAAGAAAAGTTTTTGAGAAGTAAAACACTAGCATTTTTGAAGCATAATGGGCCTTTAAGACAATATATTGAAACACTATTTACTTTAAAATGAATATTTTTAATTTAGTTATGTAGAAACAATCCCCCTCCACCCCCACCTAAAAGAGAAGAAAAAAAAACACGTTATTTTTCAGACTCCGATATAATGTTCATGACTTGCAGACGAAAACGTGCACAAAAATCATTTGAGGAAATATCTTTAACCCTAACCCAAACATAAAGTTCAGTATTTGTGCAAAAGAAAAAAAAAGAATTAACATCGAAAAGACTTTTCACTAGATATTTTATAGCACTTGGTCTGTGGCTAATAGAAATAATTTTAACAATCTACAATGCTTTTTAAAAATGTTATAAAATTATGTATTTCTGCGACAAATGCTTATGACCTTATTTTAAATTTTCAAATTAGATTTTTCTAATAGTTTACCTGGGATTAACCTTACATGTATAAGTCGTTTCCCAAGCTATAACCAAGTTTAAAAAAAACTGTCTTTATAACCCCGATTATTCTTTATTGTTTTTGAATATTTTCTATAAAATTATTAAAATCATATGTATGCATATCAGTCAATTATTACATTAAATTGTGACACTGACATTTGTCTTGTCTTTCCTTCTTTGTTTTTTTTTTTTTTTGGTTGGGCTTTCGTCTTTCTTTAATTGAACATGTGTGCGTTCCAGCTTGAGTGGGGAAAAAAGTCATCCCGGGTACCCCACGTGCATTATTTCAAGGCAGGAGCGAGCACCTGCGTAGAACCATGCAGACTCCCGTAAGAAGCTAGGATAGATCCAAATTACTTGTGGTAATTGAGCAGCAGGACACCAAACTATATACCGGCACAGTTTCCTATCACTGCTTTCTAGAGTTTCCTAAACAGCTGACAAGAAGACAACATCTAGCAGAGGACTAGTAAGACATAGTAAACATGGCCCATTAAGATACACTTAGATAGCCCAATTCAAGACAGGACTTAGTCACAAACAATTCAAGACATATTTTAGCATAGACTATGTCAAGGCAATTAAGCAGGAGAACTGTTCAAACATATAGCATATACCTATACAAGAAACATTTAGTATAGACTAGTCGAGGAACAATTCAGCATAGACAGGTAAGACCATTAAAATGAGTAGTGCAAGAACTTTAGCATAATGTAGTCAAGACATTATTAGCATAGACTAGTCAAGACAAATTCAGCATAGACAAGTCAAAATACATTTAGCCTATACTAGTCAAGAAACATTTAGCATAGAGTAGTCAAGTATAGACTGGTAAAAACACATTTAGCATAATATCCCATACAAGACACATTTATCATAGACTTGTAAAGACACATTTAGTAGAGACTAGTCAAGACAAATTCAGCATAGACCATAAAAGACACATTAACAAAGACTAGTCAATACAAATTCAGCATAGACAAGTTAGACATATAACATAAGAGTCAGTCAAACTTTAGGCATAGATTCATACATATCATAGCATAGATAGTAATGAAAAATGCAGCATAGACAAGTCAGATACATATAGAGAACAAACTCAGTCAATTTAAGTAAACAACAAAAATTCTGCATAGACTAGTCAAGGCACTTGCAGGAAATGTTCAAGAACATTTAGCAAACATACAGACACATTAAGCCTAGACTATCCAAACATTCACATAGTATCAGTCATGAACATTAAATAAGAGTACTCAGGACCGTTTTGCTATAGTAGTCAAGACTTAATAATAGACTAGTCAATACAAATCAGTCAAGATAAAAAAATAGCATTTAGCTATACTTAGTAACGATACATTTAGCATAGAGTAGTCAAGATTTAGCATCTAATATATTTAAGAAAGATGTAGGATGGACCAAACAATATATTTAGCATAGACATTATAAGAGACTTAGGCATAGAACCATACAAGAAATATTCAGCATAGACTAATAAGTGACATTTGGCATAGACCATACAAGACACACTTAGCAAAGACCATACAAGATACATTTGCATAGACTAGTCAAGACATATTTAGCATGGACTTGTCAAGATATATTATGCATAGACTTGTCAGGACATATTTAGCATAGACGTGTTAAGACATATTTAGCATAGACGTGTTACATATTTAGCATAGACTTGTTAAGTACATATTTATCATAGACGTGTCAAACATATTTATCATAGACGTGTTAAGACATATTTAGCATAAGACTTGTAAGACATATTTTTATCATAGACGTGTCAAGACATATTTATGTATAGACGTGTCAAGACATATTTATATAGACGTGTCAAGACATATTTAGCATAGACTTGTGCAAGACATATTTAGCATAGATTTGTCAAGACATATTTAGCATAGACATGTCAAGACATATTTAGCATAGACTTGTCAAGACATATTTAGCATAGATTTGTCAAGACATATTTAGCATAGACATGTCAAGAAATATTAGCATAGACTTGTCAAGACATATTGCATAGACTAGTCAAGACATATTTAAGCATAGACTTGTCAAGACAAATTTAGCATAGACGTGTCAAGACATATTTAGCATAGACTATGTCAAGACATATTTAGCATAGACGTGTCATAGACATATTTAGCATAGACTAGTCAAGACATATTTGCATAGACATGTCAAGACACATTTATTCATAGACTTGTCAAAGACAATATTTTATTATAAACTCGTCCAGGCATCTTTATCATAAATCATTCAAGGCATATTTATCATAAATCATTCAAGGCATATTTATTATAAATCAGGATTCAATGCATATTTATCATAAGTCATTCAATGCATATTTATACATAGATTATGCGTCGTGAGGTAGTTAAGCTGGTGAAAGTCAACGTTGATATGGTTATATATCATTTACGCCCCAGAAATCGTCTAGCAGATGAATTAATCTACTATTTATCTTATGTATAATGGGAGTATTTTCATCATTAATCATGGACAGAGTAGAGAATTTAACTGGAGACCAATAGCAAGAAAGATTAAATGGGTGCTGAGTTAGTAGTATATTGTATCATCAGAAATGGTAATTTCCTATGCTCGATGTGGACTACTTTAATAAATGCTTCAATTGAAATTGGTTCAAGTGAACAAAAATTATATATAATTTTTATAAATTACAGAGTATGTAGTGAATTAATTGATGTAAGAGGATATATTGATTGGAATTGCTTATTAGAAAGGAAACTGGTATTATTGCATTCATATATATAACTTTTATATGGTCGAATGACGCTATAGTGTTGCATTTCTAGAAATGTGTATTAATTTTACATCTTTAATAGATAGTGTAGCGCTCAAATCAGTACGTCTGTGAGGCCTTATCAGGCTGATGTGAATTCGTTATTACTAGATTGACGCCCTCAATAGGTTCTTATAGATATTGTCACATGATCTGTGAGGTAGCAAGAGAAATTCTTAAGACGCTAATTACGATGATGTTTGATGTGTAACTTTCAGTCAGTAGAGTCTAGGATGATATATAGGAGCACATGAGGAAGCCCTTACTTATATTACAGTAAGTAATACACGAGCGTGACAATTCGAAAACTTATTAAGTTATGATGTTCCCAAAACATTTATTTATTCTAATTAGATTTGAAATAATTTCGGTTACAACCAGGAAATTTTCCTGGTTTAAAGTGGTTGGTCTAAATGGGAATTTTTGCCGAATTAATTTTATATATAGTTAAAACGATGAAATATATGCATTTAAATATTCTTATGAAATACTTCTGGAATATGAAAATGTTTGGATAATTTTAAAGTGATTCAGTGTGAACACCTCTATGATGACTAATAACATTTTATTATCTAGAACATTTTCTTATATCTTCTCATGTACAAATACTATGTATAATTTTTTCGTGGTCTTTTGTAATGTTTTATACAAAATACTTCGAGTAGTACTTTATAAATACTCAATTATTTCTGGTATTACAGATTTTCCATTATCGACCAATGCCTTTTAAACTAATGCTATTTTTACTTGTACGGAATTAGAATAAAAAAAACCAATTTCATCTTTCTTTTGTTCAATAAAATGTCATTTCGTTTTTTGTTTCTCTTCAAACAATTTTTGTGCTTTTATTTGATAACGAAATGGATTTTTTTGATAGTATGAATTAACATTTCGTTAAAACGGACAGCTGTTTGTTAAAACGAAATATTATGGTAATATTTCGTTTTTACAAAAATACCGAAAAACCCGCTCGCAGAATATCAATATTAAGGTATGTATGATGTTACTTTATGGAATTTATAAACATATAATATCTAAAATTGACGAAATACTGTAATTTAGTATGCTAATTTATTTCAGTTTAAACTCCATGGAAAACCTAGATATCTGCATATGATTTTTAGTGTCCAGTTTATCGATGCACAAGATAGCCGGAGAAAGTGTTCATATGGACTCCGTCTTGATATATTTGCAACCCCGGGTCAGCATAAGTACATTCAACCCAGACTTTTGAGTTCGCATGTAGAACAGCCACGGTATCCGCAGTGTTACACGGGTATATGTTATCAGCATAAGTTTTGCCAGTAACGTATATGTATCCATCCACTCTAATAAGGTAGTTAAAAA